ATGACAGGCAGTTTGTATCAGAAGGTCACTCCACCATCACAAGAACACTTTTAATTTATTTTTCAAACAAAAAATACAGATTAAACTGTACAAATGAACCTTGTACCAAACCTATTTGTACTATTTGTATGTACTTTGAACAACAAGAGTTTAACATGCACATCACCTGACAAGTCAAGTCAAGTTTATTTGTATAGCACATTTAAAACAGAAGCTGTTACCAAAGTGCTTAACAAAAATAACACAACATAAAATATAAAGTAACAAGATATAATCACAGCATATGGACTCAAAGCAAAAAAACAAAAAAAAAAAAACATAATTAGAAATGCTGTCACCTAAATGTTGATCCTCCTCACCTTCCTTGATGCAAAGTCATCAATAATGTCATCATGTGAAATCTGCTCAGCAACTGCATGGTTGATACTGATGACTGCCAGACCACTGAGGCGTTCCTGACACATAGTTGACCTCAGATATGTTTTTATCATTTTCAACTTTGAAAAGCTTCTTTCTGCTCCAGCCACTGTGACAGCAATGGTAACTGCAATTCTAAGAGCAGTCCACAAATTTGGACAGATTTCTGAGAGGTCACTTTCATGGACAAAGTTTAGCAGCTCAAGAGCAGTTATAGACGTTGATGGCAAATCAGGCAAGTTCCTGAGCTCCCTTACAAGCTCTCTGCCATCCAAGTCTGAGTTCCCTTTAAAGTGCAGCGTTGTACTGAGGGCATTGCATTGTTCTGTGAGGGCTTTGTCTGAAAGATTTGGAAAGTTTGTGAGCACCCCAAAATAATCTCCCACTTTTTCCAATGTGGCAAATCTTTCCTGAATCGCAGACAGTGCAGCGTCAACAACAACATAAAAAACCATCACCTCCAGCTTCTTTAGAGGATCAGTAAAAGGCTCATCAAAAGATTCATAAGAAAAGTGATAAATACAAAAAATAATACTGGTGGTGGCAACTTCTACCATCATCCTCGTTCTTGGGAACAACAAAGTCAGCTCTTACTTGACTTGGTCCACTGCAAACTAACAGTGTGCGAATGTTGTCAGTCAGAACTGAAGGCCAGTCAACAGGATCAGCAGACAGGTGCTCATCCTCAGCAGGAGGACTTGGTGGGAGTTCAGCTCCAGACATTTCTATAATGGCAAAACATCTGTGTCAGTATACACACATTGTTTAGAATTAATAGTGGTGGAAAATAAAATGTAATAAAAAAAAAACTTGTCAAAATGGCCCTCCTCCCCTCTCCACGCTCACACACAAACACCCACCTGAAGACTCCTGGGAGGATGTTGATGTAAATGGGTCTTTGTCCTCAGAATCCAACAACGTATGTGGAGACACATTAGTGGGTGAGGAGGAGGATGGTTCCTGTTCCTGAGGCTCCAAGTCCATTGCTGAAGATAGCTGTTCAGTTGAAGAAGTGGATGGCTCTTCATCCTGGCCTGTGGCAGTGGGTGCTCAAAAATATTTCAGAAGTGCCCCTGAATTTGCATCAGATATATAAAATTATATATTATATATTTTTTATGTTTGTTATTCTGAATACCAAACATAAAAACGTACACCATCAATTGTGTCCTCATCAAACAGTCATAATTATATCCCTCATGGTTGTTATTTAATAGGCTATAAAACCTTTGTTGCAGCCTTATACATTAGAGTAATTATGGCAGGCTAACATAGTTTTTCTCAACTAATGTGATTAAAGGACTGTTAAACTGACATAGCAAATGACAAAAACAACTAAGCCTTTTTTTTAACCAAGCCTACATATATTTCCAATTTATGAAATTCATAGTAGGAGAAGTATTGTAGGCCGCCCTGGGCGGCTGCCCATGTCGCCCATATAAGGAACCGCCACTGAGCCTAACGACCGATCGTTAGTGCCCTGATGGCCGCTTGCTATTCACAGGGGTCTGAGTGATACTAGCAATAACAGCATAGTAAGCGGGTACTTTGGCCAACAAGAGGCATTGTTGAGCATGCATCAGGTTATCAACAGAGAAGTTCATTATTTTGTTCGTACAAAAACTAAACGCTGTATTTTAAATTTCTCCAACAACTAAATCCCACCTCTGTTTTGTCTGACGGGGCTTCTCTGGTAAAATGCAAACCTGCACTTCTCTTATGTTTGCGCAGGCGTTAGTAGGTTTGAGCTTATCGTGGTCAAACAGTTCACCCACTCAGTGTTTGCGGAACGTCCAAGCTGCTATCGTCGCTCCACCCAGAACGCTGGCACAGTTTTCTAATTTCAGGAACTGAGGGTGTTGTAATGTTTGCTGTGCTTAATCTTATTGTTGTAATGAGATGCTAAAATGAGAAAACAAACGTCAGAGAACGTTGTGTTAAAGGGAGCCTTGTCTTATTCAGATTGTGTTCTCCAGTTATCGTCGGTTTATGGGGAATTCATTAAGTTTTAAAAATATATTTACAGACCTAAATGTTGAGCCACAGTTCCAACAACTATTATATATGTGTGTTGTCACAAAAGCTTGTTGACAACAGTGGTCCAAAAAAAAGAGTGTTACTTTGTTTGAGATCTTTGATGATCATGATGATCATGATGATAACAAACACTTCAGCTCTAACAACTCAACTTCAAATTAATCCTAACCCTTGGTTGTCTCCACAAAAGGATGATTTCCTCTCAAATCTCAGCCAAACATCTACCATATCCACCTTATTCCTAGGCCCCATGGTGCCTTGCGGAAGTTATAGGTGCTACTTCTGGCGTGGACCAGAACCGTTTGTTTATTCAAGGATTCAAGGTTCTTTATTGTCATTCACATCACATGTGGTACATGAGGTGGAACGAAACTACAGGGTCCCAGTTAATCCAACAAAAATACAAATTGTAAAGAAAAACAGTAATAAGATCTAAGACATGAACTAAGAAATACGCTAAACTAAGAATACACTAAGCACTAATTTGCCAAACAACAACAGCACGAACATGAGTCTATGTGAGCAGATGAGGACAAATGAACACAGCAGCATGAAATAAATCAGCAGCATGAGATCAGCATCATGGATAGTCAGCAGCACATATTAACAACCAAGTGGCATCACAGTGATTTTTTTCACAATAATTTTCACAGTGATAATCCTGGTTATAGCTCATGAGTCTAACAGCTTCAGGGTAGAAGTTGTTCCTAAGTCTAGTGGTTCTACACTTAATGCTCCTCAACCTCCTGCCTGAGGGGAGCGGGGCAAAAAGTGTGTGCTGGGTGAGTGGGGTCCTTCTTGATGCAAGTGGCCCTCTTCCTGCATCTACAGGTGTAAATGTCTGTGATGGTGGGGAGGCTGACTCCAACAATTATGTGCGAGTTAATGTAGTTCCTCCATGTGGAGCAGTTGGTAGATCTGCTGCCTCTCAGCAAGCAGATTACTCTGGTTCAAAATTTCAAATCCCAGTCTGGAGGCCTTTCTGGGTGGAGTTTGCATGTTCTCTCTGTGCATGCTTGGGTTCTCTCCGGGTGCTCCAGTTTCCTCCCACAGACCAAAAACATACATGTTAGACTGATTGGTAACTCTAAATTGTCTCTAGGTGTGAGTGAGAGAGTGAATGGTTGGTTGTCTCGTTTGTCTCCATGTGTCCCTGTGATGGACTGGAGACCTGTCCAGGGTGTCCCCCGCCTCTTGCACTGTGATGGCTGGACATGGGCGCCAGTGACTCCCGCGACCCAAAACAAAGAAGAACCTGGTAAAGATAACAAATGGATGGATGTAGGAACACCACCTGTCAGAACTCCAACAGGACAATATAATCTGCAGATGAGGGATGGAGGACGACCTGAAGGAAGTGGCTGCAGATTACATCTACTAGCATATTTAGCTACTTTACTGACTCAGTTCTACTGACAGTGTAGTGATGAACAACCTGAAAAGCTCTGAGGTGTATCAGTATCTACAGTAATAAGGTTGGTGGTGTTTTGTTAAAAGAGGTGGGACACAATCTTATTTACCTTAAAGCAGACACAGAGTCCAGCCAAAGCCTTAAAGTCCTCCATCACTGAGCTTGGGTTAACTGCAGAGAAAATCATAAATCAGAAGACGAACAAATACTATAATGCTGTGTCCTCCATACACTTGACTTATATCTGATGTTCTTGTCACACTGTTTTCAATCCTTCTGAGGATCCAGCATCTCTTCTCCAGTGGTTCATTGTAGTCCAGACACAAAGTAGCATGCAGGTTTTCCTCTGTCAGCCATTTGTCAACAAAGAGAAATGAGCTCACATACAACATTTTGGGTGGTCTCTTCTGGTTCACATCTGTTCATTGCCCTCAGGTGACTTCTGTTGTGACTTGCCGCTATATAAATAAACTAAATTGAGTTTTTCAGCCACATTCTTAATTCCTTGTATGTAGGAGATGGAAACTTACCTCTTTTCACAGGAACACTCTTTGTTTTGCGTCGGTGTTCAGAACACCATTCATTCATGTTCGTGCTGCTGTTCGACGTAATGTTTTTATGCTATTAATGCTTAGTGTATTACTTAGCTGATGTTTTTCTTAGTTCATGTCTTAGATGTTATTACTGTTTTTCTTTTACATTTTATTGTTGGATGTAACTGGGACCCTGTGTACATAATTTTGTTCCACTACATGTACCACATGAGATGCGAATGACAAATAAATCTCTCTGACTCTGACTCATTCTGGTTGTTCATGCAACACAACAGGTACCTGGACTCCACAAGGACATTTTAGTCAACTTTATGGTTGTTAAATAAATGTGAACAAAACAAAAACAGAGTTTTATCTGCTAAACTGAATGCTAATTACTTTTAAGTAAACCGTGGTCCGTGCTCTGCTCCCATGGTTAACCAATGCTTATTGCAACTTCCTGCCAGACAGGAAGTTGTACCCATAATCCTTTATACAGTAGAGCCCCCAGGAATAAGGTGGATACATGTAATACTAGAAATAGTAATGTAACATAAGCCTGACACATTTTTTTTATTAACCAAGTTTTTGAAATCCTGCAGCTCTGTGGATTTGCATTGATTGTGGTGGGAGTCATGGTCCAGGTGTCTCTGCACAAAACATTCTTGATTCAAGACGCGACTGCCTCAGCAGCTCCCATTGTCATCATCGCAGTTGGCGTCTTGATTTTCTTCGTGGCGTTCTTCGGCTGCTGTGGAGCCTGGAAAGAGAACCATTGCATGGTCACCACGGTAACCATACTGCATGATTTAACCCACAAAACAATAAAGAGGTTTCATTATCTTTTGAGTAAAGATGGTGTCCAGAACACGTGAAGTCTGTTGTTCTCTTTAATAAATTGAATTCTTCTATGCTCCAGTTTGCAGTCCTGCTCTCCTTGATTATCCTTGCTGAGGTTGTAGCAGTAATCCTCGGATACGTCTTCAGAAACAAAGTGAGTGTAGAGTTTTACTGTTTCTTAACGTGATTTCCTACAGTAACTGTTTCTTTACTTTGTGTTTCCCACACAGATCTCAAAGGTGGTCCAGGATAGCCTCACCGATATGATCAATAACTACCAGAACAGCTCCAAAGAGTTCCAAGATGCTGTGGATCAAATGCAGGAGAACGTAAGTTCAATCTAACCTTGTGTAGTCACTGTTTACACATCCTGACAACACCTTTTCACAACACTGCTGCATCCTGTTACTGAGTCCTGGATCGTTGCTCTGTTGACCCAAGTTACTGCTTATCCTCATATAAAACTGCCTGATCTGAGGATAACCAAGGTTTGTTTTGGTTCCCTTTAGTGGAAGTGCTGCGGCGTGAACAGCTCTTCTGACTGGAGGCACTTCAACCCCGATGGTAAGACGGTACCAGACTCATGCTGCATGAACGTCACGAAAAACTGTGGAAAAGAGGCCATGACAGATGCCAGCAAAGTGTACCAGAAGGTAAACCCAAACATTCAGGGCTGTCTCAAAGTCTGGTATGGTCAGTTTTATTTTGACTGTGTTTTATTTGTAGTGGATCTTGGCTGGAGGAGGTTTTTGAACAACTGAGACCAAACACGTTCCACTTAGATGGAATGTAAATATTAGACAGAAACCTGACTTGACTTTGATAACACTTGGTCTTTGACAAATTAAACACACCTTTGAAACACTCACGCAGTGAATTAAACAGGTGTTTGTTAGAGCCTTCCGAACATGTTGCTGTCATGTGACCCACCTCACCGGGGGCTTTTCGGCAACATTTTACGACAGCAGCATGACTCGTTTGTATAGTTAAAAAAAAGAAAAAAAGCTACAGCCCTCTGTTTTATTTTATGATTAAACTGGAAGCATGTAAGAACTTTGAGTTGGTGCCGCCTCTCATTAGACAAACGGTGATGAAGATGTTGCCTTGGAGGGAAATAAAGCATCGTGCTCACAGCTACAGCATGTATGAAGAAAAGAGGTGTTTCCACTTTCTTTTCATCCACAGTTGATGTTTTACACACTGACCACATCAGACATTCATCTGTCCATCCGTCCATCCATCCATCCATCCATCCATCCATCCATCCATCCATCCATCCATCCATCCATCCATCCATCCAGCCATCCATCCATCCATCCATCCATCCATCCATCCATCCATCCA